GCATTCAGTTTCCTTGTCTATCACATGGGGATGATAGTAGTAGCTATATCATTGTTAAGAAGATTAGTGTTTGTAAAGCTCAGGGGTGGATTATCCAATAGGCAAGGTAAGCATGGTATTTACTTTGCTTACTACATCATCTGTAATGAATAATTTCACATTTTTTCACCACATCAAAGGTTCTACTTCTAGGTATGGCTGGCATCTGTCTCTTCCCCACCCCCACAGCACCTTCCTACAGAATCAAAGCCTCTTTTCAAGTTTACAATCCCTGACAGGGATGAATTACCCAGTAATCTGCCCCTGGGAAAGCTCCTAGAACATGCATTTTTCTCCTTCTAAATTGTTAGGTGTTTGAGACTAGGAGCCTATACTTTGTATCACTTAACATATCCAGTATAGTCCTTGCACATAATAGTTCAGAATTTGACTTTTGAAGGAATTTGTTGAATTATGGAGTATACTATGCATTTGCAAGTTAGCCATTGCATGTAAGAATCCAGTTGAGAATCACTGTGTCTACACGTATCTTCTTCCCTACCGTAATACTGAGACCTGAGTATAGGGCCAGGTGACACACAGATGCATGGTACTGAACCTTGTTGATTTGAACTAGGAAAACTTGGGCAAGGTTGTGGGCTAAGAGGAGTGACAGAACTACATTGTGGAAGTTGGAGAAAGTAGTAAGCAATAAAACACTCTATTGTAAATGTTAGCATATTATTTAGGTCAAGAAAGCTCTTAATGAAAGTTGTAACTATCCCCTGGGGTAGTCAAGGTGAATGCCATCCAAACAGTGTCATTCATTTTCTTCGAGCAAAACCAAATCAGGGTAGCTGCTGTTACTGGAATTTTAGTGAGTGGAAGAAAGTAGGGTAAACAGGATAATTTGGATGTTTGGGAAGAATATGCCTGGATTGACTAAGGGGCTGAGAGCTAGGGGTAGGGAAGAAGGAAAAATAGATTAAATTTCTGCTCAAAGGCAGTACACTTCCCAGTGACTTATTTTGTCTTTGCCTTTTACATTTTTTAATTCTGGGCTTTGGGGAATTCCTCACCAGGGGAATCTCTGGAGCAGTAGTCCAGGAAAGCAATTAGTTGGTTCCATCCTGTATGTTGGTCACATCTTCTGATGTGTGGTACTGAGAAGGATCCTGAGGTCTCATTAAGAGTTTAATGGGCAAGAATGCCTTGATCAGTTAGCGGTGCCTCCCATAACAAAGGGGAGGATTGGCCAGAGAAACCATTCCCTGTCTTGTCTCCTGTACTGGAGGCTGAACAAAAGATGAATGGATTAGCTAGATGATACTTAATGTAATTAATGCTGTGATGTATAATTATACAGAAAAATACTTGGGACTCTGACGTTTTTGACTGGCAGCCTTTAAGTTTTATAACTCGAATGAATTCTGACTTTATTGCACTATTTAGCTTGACTTTTTTTTTTTTTGAGAGTTTTTATCAGGAATGGGTGTTGGACTTTGTCAAATGCCTTTTCTGCGTCAATTGAGATGATCCTGTGATTCTTTTCTTTCCTTTTATTTATGTGGTGGATTACGTTGATTGATTTTCTAATGTTGAACCATCCTTGCATACCTGGTATGAATCCTACTTGGT